TCCAGAGCCCCGGGGGGCAGCGCTAGGGGCCCTCCCCGGCAGCGCCCCAGCTGCTTTGCCTCCGGCTTCCCCAATTCAGCCGCTGGTCAGTTTTAGCAGCAGCTGAATCGGGGAAGCTGGGGGCAGAGCAGCTCCAATGGTCTGGCTGCCCGGAGCACTTCCGGGTTCCTGATGGTGCCGGACCATCAGGAGTGCTGGACCATCAGAGTTTTACTGTATCGCCAATTATGGAGATTCCACAATCCCCCTAAGCAATTTATCCCAGTGTTTAACCACCTTGACAGTTAGGAAGATTTTACTAATATCTAACCTAAACCTCCCTTGCTGCAATTTAAGCCCATTGCTTCTTGTCCTATCATCATAGGTCATGGAGAACAATTTTTCTACTTCCTCCTTGTAGCACCCTTTGAGATATTTGAAAACTGCTATCATGTCCCCTCTTAGGGTTCTTTTTTCTAAACTAAACAAACCCAAATTCTTTCAGTATTCCCTCAGAGGTCATGTTTTCTAGGCCTTTAATAATTTTTAATCAATTGTGTTCAATTCTGCATCGTCCCCCCGCCCCCAATTACAGAAAGGATGTGGACACATTGGATAGTCCAGCAGAAAGCAACAAAAATGATTAGGGAGTTATAGCAGTGTTTCTCAACCTTTTTTTTTTTTTAATAAAGTACCCCTTAAAAAAAAATACCCTCGTACCTACAGTTTTCAGACATACAATTTTTTTTCTATCATTGCAACACATTTGTTTAAACAACTTAATCGTAGCTGGTTGGGCAATGAAATTTTTGAGTGTAAAAAGTACAAAAATAATAAAACACTATAAAGCTTAAAACAAAAATTCAGTTTTCTCCAAATTTCCGTTGTGTTGACATACCCCTCCCCCTTCCCCAACTTTACTCGAGTACCCCTAAGGATACTCGTACCACTGGTTGAGAAACATTGAGCTAGGGCATATGGCTTAGGAGGAGAGGATGAACAATTTGGGCTTATTTAATCTACAGAAGAGAATCATAGAATACTAGAACTGGAAGGGACTTCGAGGGACCATCAAGTCCAGATCCCTGCCCTCATGGCAGGACCCACTACTGTCAAGATCATCCCAGATAGATATCTATCTAACCTGCTCTTAAATATCTCCAGAGATGGAGATGCCACAACCTCCCTAGGCAACTTATTCCAGTGTTTCCCCATCCTGACAGTTAGGAAGTTTTTCCTAATGTCCAACCGAAACCTCCCTTGCTGCAGTTTAAACCCATTGCTTCTTGTCCTATCAGAGGCCAAGGAGAACAATTTTTCTCCCTCCTCCTTGTGACACCCTTTAAAATGTCCCCCCTTAGTCTTCTCTTTTCCAAATTAAAGAGTGAGGGAGGATTTGATAGCAGCCTTCAACTATCTGAAAGGGGGGTTCCAAAGAAGATGGAGAGAAGCTGTTCTCAGTTGTGACAGATGACAGAAGGAGGAGCAATAGTCTCAAGTTGCAGTGGGGGAGGTCTAGGTTGCATATTAAGATAAATTATTTCACTAGGAGGATGGTGAAGCACTGGGATGGGTTACCTAGGGAGGTGTGGCATCTCCATCCCTAGAGGTTTTGAAGTCCTGGCTTGACAAAGCCCTGGTTGGGATGATTTAGTTGGAGTTGATCCTGATTTGGGCAGAGGGTTGGACTCGATGACCTCCTGAGGTCTCTTCCAGCCCTAGGATTCTATGGGGCTGGAGCGTCTCTATATGAGAGCACATCACAGTAATGGAGATGTAGGAGCAGGCTCCTGACTCTTGACCATTCTCAGACATGAGACTGTAAGGAGGCCTCATCAGGAAGGCCAAAAAAGTGTTTGAAGAACAGCTAACCACAGACTAAAAAAGCAACAACAAAACAAATGTTAAGTGTATCAGACGCAGGAAGCCTGCTTAACAACAGTGAAATTCTTTAAATGGTCAAGAGGCTAAAGAACTCAAGGATTATAAGGCCACTCACTGAGAAAAAACTAAATGCTCTTTTGTTTTCATTGGTCTTCAAGATTGAAGATGTGAGGGAAATTCCAAATATGAGCCATTCTTTTTAGGTGACAAATCTGGGGAACTGGTCCAGATTGTGTTGTCAGAGGATTTGCTGGATTGCCTACAACGTGGGCCCATTTGCATTTAAAAATATAGTGGGAAGAAACATGGAATCAAATTCGTAAGGCATGGACAG